TGTGTCATTTCCTCGTGTGTTTTAATATTCTACGTATTATTAATGAATTTTATTGCTCATTTTGCACACATAAACATTAATTCAATAAAAAAGACATTCAGTAATAAACAATAATGAATCTTTTGTACATAAGAGAAATGACGCTGTTTACACGATTATGCACGTCGTCTGCACGTTGGCGGGCCGTTCAAACCCGTCGAAATTCAAGTTTCCGCCGTCAAAATTTTTATTTATTTTTTTGTGTTCCAATAAAATACGTTAAGAATTAAAAACTCGCGAAATTTGAGAAGCTACTATACGACATTTAACCCTTCAATATGTCTTCAAAGAGACCATGATGCAGAGAAAGTGGTGCTAGTGCTTCCAAGCATAAGCACAAGTCACTATCTATCCAGGAAAAGGGTGAATTTCCATGGTCCGGCAATTTCCATGGTCCGGCACCGGTCAGGTCCCGAGGTTGCCGGACTAGAGAGGTACAACCTGTAGTATGTACAGTCAATAAAAAAAAATCTGCACCCCTGGGTCTGATGGCCTTTGTAATGATCACTGACTGAGGCCATGTTCATTTGATAAGGTTGGTACTTCTGAGTGTGTGATGCACTGTGTAACCAATATAATGTATTCTGTATATCAAATATAATTAATACAGAGAAATTAACAGGAATACATATACAACCCATCTTGTTCAGAGTTCTTTGTCTAATGTGTCTTGTATAACACCATAAAAGTGCAGTGAATTTTTTGCTGACTGTACATATACTCCCACAAGCACAAACACATTCAAGCAATTTTAACACATGAGCATCTATCAAATCCTCAAACCCCCAAACTTTATTTGTGCCATTTTTGATGTCATCACCAGAAAGCCTTTGAAGTTATATGCACACTCCTGCCACAAGACCTTGCAAACTGTATTTCTGGTACTGGTTATGAGTTCATCCCACAGATTTCAGTTGGTAGGGAGGATGCAGTAATTGTGCCATAACTCCCAAACAGACTGTTAGTCGAGTCTGTCAGTAGCTCCAAGCAAATGAGGTAATGTCTACCTCAAACAATACACTTAAAATATTGCTCACACTCTATGATCCATTGGTTCATAAAGGATGTGGTGTTGGGTGGTAAAGACATGATGTGGATATTATAGATGAGGTAATTATATGCATAGGACAACCCAGAGCACTATCAGAGAGTATGCCAGGTAGCGACGTGTCCAAATATTACAAATTTTTAAGTAATTATTAGATGTTTTAATTGCCTGTATGTTGGCCTGGCGAGTTAATGCTAGGCATTCACATACCTAGGTATAAGTTAGGAGTCGCATTCTGGATTGAACAAAAATAGTTCACTAAGCAGTCTTGAAAAAGTTATGCTGTTATCTAGGCTTTTTATTGGCTCACTAGTGAACATGGTGGCTAAAATCCTTTAAAGCCTAAGGATTCTGGGATTACTACATAAAGGCTATAAAAAGAGACATCTTAACAAAGCAAGCTCCAACTGTGTTCTGGTGGCATTCTTACAGTGCATGGTGTGCGAGATTTATTTCCATACTGCATTACACACATGAAAGAAGGAGAGTGCGATGCACAAACCTTAGCTAAGCATAATTGGATAATAAAGGTAAAGCACATACCACTAAGTGCAATTTCTAGTTCTTGTGAATTAAGTATCAATGAGGAAGACCTTATTACAAGAGCCACTTGACTTAGTAATGTATGCTAGTAACAATTAAAGTTGAGGAAAAATGCATCATATGTACTGCCCTTTCCATCTTTAAGACTGCATACTGATAACCATTTTATCACATTATGATACTCACCATTGGAGGATTTGCTTTCCAGCATTGTACGCTGATATTTCCCAGTATTCAAATCTTTAAGGACGGCTAAGAGTTCCTGAACTCGGGCAGTAAAACCAGCTAATCTTGTCAGCTCCCTGCCAGCTAAAACAAGTCGTCCTATTGCCTCAGCCAATTTCACAAGCATTCGTCCACTTTTGTAGTAATCCTGGAAATACAAAAACAAACAAAATAGTGCATTCATCCTGAGATCCTAGTACAGGTATACTGTACTGTATATCCATAATGGAACTCTCTATAACCATTAAGTCCATGGGGTAAAATCTCCCAAGCCCCACCTTGAGTAGTTGGGATATAAAAATTTTAAATAAAACAATCAGAGTATTCTTTATTTTCATACCAGATTCCATGAAGCTACCCACTGGCAAGATTGTCCTCTAAAAAAAGAAAGAAAGGTAAAGAGTATAGTCATGCAAAATTTAGATGTCAAACTCATGGGAAGGAGCCACTTTACGGAACTCCGTGTATTTCCTTAACTGCCTTTCAAGAAAGGCCCAAAATATACCATACAGGAAACACCTTTGTGTCTCTACCATATAGGAAACTCTTTCGATCTCTACCATATTGCTGAAAGCTTAGTGAAGACTGCAGAAACTACAATGAGATCAATCAAATGACTCCCATAAAGCTTCATCTTCCATTAATCAACATAAGGAATTTTAACATTCAGTTTTGTGAGGTCCAAAACTACTCAGGCCCAACAGTTGAATTCCATTTTACTCTTCATTCCAGCCATATAATCCCACAGGGAATCTAAGTTCCTCCTGTTCAGGACCAGTAGAAAACTGGTTCCATATACAATCTCTCCTCGACTTACGACAGAGTTCTGTCCCGACGACCAGGTCATAAGTCGAAAAGGCAAAAATAATACATAGAAATTCTAAAATGGGTGTTTCTTTTTCTTCTCAGCACCAAGGGAACTCAATCTTTTACACTTGCCAGCCATTTTAAAGGGAATTACAAATGAAAATTTTGTCAGTACACAGCGCGATCACTAACGTCAGGACTCGAAAATACCTAATGTGAAAAATATTTTATATGACCATGGCCGTCGTCTATCCGGGTTGTCGTAAGTCGAATATGTGTAAGTCGAGGAGAGACTGTAGTCAACTTTTACATCCCTGGAAGGATTCCAATATGGTCAACCATCATAGATAAGTACATTTTAAACTCAAAAAGAGTACCTGTATATTATACAGTATTACCCCGCTTTACACGGTTTCGTGAAGTATAATTTTTTTTTTTTTTTCTTTATTTAGCTCATAAAATTCATACAAACTACCCGGCCAGAATATAATTTACATTGCTGGAATTCTTACAATATGATGATCATTTTGAATATAAACATCATGGATTTTGCATTAGACATACAAATTTTAGATCTACTGTAATAATTTGGTTTACACAATGCAAATATTTTATCGTTTGTGCAAAATATATGAAGTTTACATTCAAAATATTCCCTGACCTGCAAGGAATCTAGAAATGTCAATTATATTATCCTAACTTTAGTCTGGGTTATTATTTATTACTAAAAATTTAAATATACTATTTTCTCCCAATCGCTTCTCTGGTAGGGAGGGAAGGTGGGGTGTGGGGGTTAGAAAGGGAGGGCGGGCGGAGGTGGGGTATTTTGATTGACAGATAGTGTCCTTGAAGAATATTTCTTTGTTTATTTACTGAAGATATTTGTTTTAGCTCATAAAATTCATACAAATTACCCGGCCAGAATATAATTTACATTGCTGGAATTCTTACAATATGATGATCATTTTGAATATAAACATCATGGATTTTGCATTAGACATACAAATTTTAGTTCTAATGTAATAATTTGGTTTACACAAAGCAAATATTTTATCTTTTGTGCAAAATATATGAAGTTTACATTCAAAATATTCCCTGACCTGCAAGGAATCCAGAAATGTCAATTATATTATCCTAACTTTAGTCTGAGGTATTATTTATTACTAAACGTTAAAATCTAGTGGTTTCACCCAAACATTTCTCAGAGAGGTAGGAGCTAGTGAGCTGGGAAGAGGGGGGGGGGGGATTTGAGTCCATTATTTGAATGGACATTAACCTGGCGACTGTATTTCTCTTAAATATTAATTGTGTGAGCATACCATCATAAAATTTAGATGTTATTTTTACTACAACATAGGTATTGTGTCGGAAAAAGTGGAGTTTGGGGGTCGGGCCAGTCTCTATTGGAATTAATCCCATATGTTCTGTTGTTCACTTTACGAGGTTTTCACTTTCCGAGGCACCCTGTGGGTTCAATTGACCGTGTAAATCGTGTAAATCAGGGTACTACTGTATGCCGATTTGATGATTCCCAGGGTGAGATACAAAGTGTGAACTTCTGACTTGAAATTTCTTGGGATTTTATATTGGACAACTTCCTCCCAATGAAATAAAATATCCTCTTCTTGTGTTGAGCCAGATCCCTACACTCTACCTATTATCATCTTATGAAAGATAAACTGATCTATGCACTGGGATATTATACAGCTGTGGAATTGGGTAGTGCTACTTTGGTAATTAACTTGTTAAGTAACCTGCAACATAGGTCATTAAGTAAAATAATTTGCAATATAAATCTTTTATATCTATAAAACCATTACCTGGGACTGTATGGCTGTACGGTATTCTATATGCAAGTGTATAAAGTGACATAGGAATATTTAGCTGTCCATAATGCTGGAACAGATGGTTAGCAGCTCCACTCTATGTGACTACAGTTGTACCCCACTTAACGCGGTCAATTGAACCCAGAGGGTCCCGCGTTAAGTGAAATCCGCGTTAAGTGAACAACAGAACATATGGGATTAATTCCAATAGAAACCGGCCCGACCCCCAAACTCCACTTTTTGAAGGCACATACCTATGTTGTAGTAAAAATAACATCTTAATTTTATGATGGTACATGCACACAATTAATACTTAAGAGAAATAGAGAAATACAGTCGCTAAGTTAATGTCCATTCAAATAATGGACTCAACTCACTCCCCCTCTCACACTACACTGCCGGCTCTTCCCTCTCTGAGAAATTTTTGGGGGAAAACCACTAAATTTTAATAAATAATACCTCAAACTAAAGTTAGGATAATACAATTGACATTGCTGGATTCCTTGTAAGACCAGGAATATTTTGAATATAAATGTCATATATTTTGCACAAAAGATAACATAGTTAATTTGAGAAAAAATTTTATCTAAAATTTGTATGTCTAATGCAAAAATATGATGTTTATATTCAAAATGATCATCAAATTATAAGAATTCCAGCAATGTAAATTATATTCAGACTGGATAATTTGTATGAATTTTATGAGCTAAAACAAATATCTTCAGTTAATAAAAAAAAAAATAATCTTCACGACACTATCTGTCAATCAAAGTACCCCACCTTGCCTCCCCCCCTCTTCCAACCGCGCGGTCAGTCCCAACCCTCCCCCCCACCCCCCACCAATCCTCCCTTCCAGAGTTTTTAACATTTAGTATTAAATAATACCTCAGATTAAAGTTAGGATAATATAATTGACATTGCTGGATTCCTTGTAAGACCAGGAATATTTTGAATATAAATGTCATATATTTTGCACAAAAGATAACAGTTAATTAGAGAAAATTTTTTATCTAAAAATTGTATGTTTAATGCAAAATATATGTTGTTTATATTCAAAATGATCACCAAATTATAAGAATTCCAGCAATGTAAATTATATTCTGACCGGGTAATTTGTATGAATTTTATGAGCTAAAACAAATATCTTCAGTTAATAAAAAAAAAAATAATTCTTCACGGGGTAACAGATGGTCTGTCGGTCCCTCCCTCCCCCCAACCCCCCACCAACTGTCCCAAGGAGATGTGTGGGATAACCACTAAATTTTAATAAATAATACCTCAAACTAAAGTTAGGATAATATAATTGACATTGCTGGATTCCTTGTAAGACCAGGAATATTTTGAATATAAATGTCATATATTTTGCACAAAAGATAACATAGTTACCTAGAGAAAAATTTTTATCTAAAAATTGTATGTTTAATGCAAAATATATGATGTTTATATTCAAAATGATCACCAAATTATAAGAATTCCAGCAATGTAAATTATATTCTGGCCGGGTAATTTGTATGAATTTTATGAGCTAAAACAGGCAGTCAGGCAGGGTGGCGGGTGGGGCAAATCTAAAAATAGCGTCTCGAGCCGGACACTCACCGCGTATATGTGGAAAAAATCCTTGTTAAGTGAAAGTTCAGCTCTGGCGAGGCACCGCGTATATGATAAAACGCGTTAAGTGAAACCGCGTTAGGCGGGGTAATACTGTACATGAATGGATCTGAAGTGATGATCCTAATGTCATTATCTTGAAGGCAATGTCAATCATATGAGTGCACCAGACATTATGAGCTTTTGTTTGGCAACAAAAATCTTCAGCCTTCTCCTTTTTTTGGATGCCTTCATATCATGGCTATCTTTATGGAATCCAGATGAAGTTTAGGGTAATCTAATTTTCTAGTTAAAAGATTTTTATATCCCTGGACCCTGGGAATTAAAACCCCTCGGTGCCTCGCCAGAACCGAACTTTCACTTTCCGCGGTTCATCTACCCATATACGCGTGAAGTATAATTTTTTTTTTTATTTAGCTCATAAAATTCATACACATTACCCGGCCAGAATATAATTTACATTGCTGGAATTCTTACAATTTGATGATCATTTTGAATATAAACATCATAGATATTGCATTAGACATACAAATTTTAGATCTAATGTTTACTCTGAGTAAATATGTTATCTTTTGTGCAAAATAAATGACATTTATATTCAAAATATTCCTGGTCTTACAAGGAATCCAGCAATGTCAATTATATTATCCTAACTTTAGTCTGAGGTATTATTTGTTACTAAAAGTTAAAATTAGTTTTTTCACCCAACATTTCTCTGGTAGGGAGGGAAGGTGGGGGTGGGGGGGGAGGGTTGGGACCGACCGACCATCTGGCGTGGTTGGAAGAGGGGGGGAGGCAAGTTGGGGTACTTTGATTGACAGATAGTGTCGTGAAGAATATTTTTTTTTTTATTAACTGAAGATATTTGTTTTAGCTCATAAAATTCATACAAATTACTGGACCAGAA